AGGTTTATGCGGTTTATCCTGAATTAGATTCAAAAATCGCTATACAGTTGTCCTTCACAGCTATCACCCAAACGGTTCCAACAATGCTATCAACACTTGACAACCACAACCATAAACCTCAACCAACAACTAATCCACACAATAGTCGCTGGACATCCCTTCAGACGACCCAAAGTAAGCTAAAGTCATGTTTTCTCTTCACTGGAGTCGCCATCCGAAGCCCACAATGAGTTCAATGAGTGAATAGGTCTTAAGATCGCACCTCATCCTCATGTCCGGCAAATCAATGAGTAATTTCTTATTCAAAATATCCCACACTTTAAGAGTAGAGTCGGCGCTTCCGCTCACATGAAGTCGATTGTCTGCCGACCACGAGATCTGATAGACAGCCTTCACGTGTCTGCGGATCGCCGGTAGACTGGTGTTCAATGGGGTCGACCTACTGCTGGTGTCTGTTCTCGTAGTCAATTAATATTTGTAACAAATTTTGTTTTTGTAAATAACTATTTTATGTCAAAAATTCACATAAAATACATAATAAATTATATAACAAATTCATTAAATTTTTATACAATATTTAATTCAATTAATATTGTCTTTAAAAATCATTAAATGTGTAAATAATATACAAATTAATGTCTTTTATGGGACCGAGAATGGGATCGACTTCGGGAACGGGACCGCGATTTCGATGAACGCCTATTGCGTCGGCTGTGGGAACGGGACGGCGATCGCGAAGTACTTCTGGAGCGCGACTTCTTTCTCTTATGTGACTTCTTATGTGTCGAATAGGAGGACGAGTGGCGAGACTTGTGATGACTGCGCGGCGAAGACTTTCGCGACGACTCCTTCAAAGGTTTGTCGCTCACAATGAACGGCAAAAGTGAACCACTTTTGGCCGTTTCATAACTCTTATGACTCAACACAATGTCTAATAAGGAGTTCTCATTGACACCACTCTTGTGATCGCGTAGTGGAGAGGCGTTCGGAGACGTGATGGCGGCGATTGTCGGCGAAAGGGGTGCGCTATTGGCGGTTGACTTTGGTTTCGGCAGTTCTGGTCCGTAAACACCGACGTCTTCGCCGCCACTGGGGTTCGGATCACTAGTTTTTGTTTGATCTTTAGATTTACTCTTAAGGAGAGTGAGAAAGAGTGCGGCCTTTCGTTTGCGTTCCTCCTGTTTGTCTTTGGCGGCCCTCTCTCTCACTGCGAGCGCTAACTTGTCTTTCAGCGC